TCGTGACAACCCTGCCGTCCTGCTGCCACAGCGTGAATACACTTTATTAAACGTCCGCTCAAGTTAGTTTGTGTGTAACCGAGAGACGCACCGATCCGACATAACAGGTCATCAGACCGGCTGCTGGTCCGCCTGAAGCAGCGCTGGAAGCCGCAGTCATCCAGACGCACTTCCTGGAGGAGTCGGTGAAATTCAAGATGTGTCCGGATGATGTCATGATGTTTGCGGTGCCGACGTTTGTGTAATTCACACAACAAATAAAGCGCAGAAATTGTGGTTATTTATTTCCATGGTGGATAGCGGACATAATAATAACCGTCTTTACAGATAACAGATAAGCCACGCCCCCTTTGAGGCGCGAATGAAGCGAAATAACCCGCTTTACTCGCGCGAGTAAACTGGCGCGAGTAATGCGGGGCGAAAATTCGCTTCGCTTTTGGTGTGAACGTAACATTAGAGCGCCTCCGTCAGACACTGAAGTTGCTGTTGCAGGCTTATTGCGTTCAGATGGACAGAGACTGGGAAGGAATCAGGACATTTATTGCCATATGTCAGATATACAAGGAATTTGACTTGGCGGTTGGTGCGTAACAGCAGACTGGACGACAAGACAACAGTGCACAAAGAATATAATAAAATATAATGCTATGGGTTAGTAGTATAAGGCTATGGGTTGGTTTAAAAATAAAGTTTAAAATTAAAGTAAAAAATGTAAAATTATTTAAAGCTGCAAGCAGTGATGAACGGGCCTGATCCTCCCCTTGCATGTCGGGGGGGGAAGCGCTCAGCCCGACACGTGGTCAAAAAGACAAGATAATCAGTGCCGGGTGTAGGATTCGAAGTCTGGCTTTGTAAACAGAATACCTCACAACTTGGCTACTTGCCTTGCTGTACAAAGACCTACAAAAGGTAAATAAATATGTAGGATCACCTCCATTCAGTCGAGGCAAAGAACGTGAGCTAATCTCACCACTTCTGCTCCACCAAGAAGTATTAACTTGTGAAGTCTGGCAGATATATTTTGCGAACAGAACACATTGAATGTGTCTCTGCAGAACACCTGTATTTAAACATGTCCATTCATGTCGGTGACAGCCAACTTGACCAACTTGATTCATTATTCCCAAGCATACTGCTGATATGGAAAATAAATCTTTACAGCTGGATCAAAGCTGTGGCCTCCAAGTGAGTGCACCTAGAACCCAGCAGTTGCTGGGGCTGCTTTATGAATACGTGTAGGGGGCGCTATCGAGCCACAATGCTATTTGGAAGGATTAAAATCATATGAAGTAACTATATCTAGAACTGTAAATGTGTTTTCCAAGTTTAGTAAAGATTGGAGCATATTTAGTCCCTCCAAAGCACCTTCATTTCGCAACAGCGTAACACAGAAACAAAAAGTTTAAAAAAACTTTTAATGGCCTTGGGACTGTTTTGTCCAAATTTGAAGTGGCTGTGACAAACCCAGGTAGGAGTTTGTCAAAGTATAGCGACTAGAAAGTACATCAAATAGAGGGAATATTCACAACAAAAAAATTATAACTGACTTCCTGTTCATTTTAGAGCATGGTCCCAAGAGACTTTATTTTAAGTCTCCCTGTTTTACATATGTAAAAAAATCGTCATACATGTAGGTCAAACAGGGCGCTCGGGCTACTTCGTTGAAAACTGCCATGCATCTGATAACTGGATTATTGAATTGGTAAATACAGTTACTACTGGTAATAATGAAAAAAATACTGTATATAATTTTCTTCCTAATGCTTACTATTTTTCCAAATCATCTCATGTGTTTAAGGTAAAGGAGACCCTAAGGGGTATCACAAGTGTCCACACGCTGACTGCTGATGTGTGGACAAGTCGTGCAACAGAGGCTTACCTTGGTGTGTCTTGAAGATGAAGACCTTAAATCTTTCCACCATGCCTCTTGAGGAGACGCATAGTGGTGCAAATATAATGATATGGATGGAAGAGGTTTTAACAAGTTTGACATCTTGCCCACCAAAATAAAAGCAATAGTGCATGACAGTGGTTCCAATATGGTGGCAGCAATACGACTGCTTGAAGTCTGTGCTGGACACACACTCCAGCTTATAGTCAACACTGCTCTCAAAGAAACCACCATCAGCAGAGCACTAGGTGCTGCTAGGCAGCTAGTGGAGCACTTTAAGATAAGTGAGCTGGCTAGTACAAAGCTAAATATGAAACAGGAGCAAATGAATGCTAAGAAAAATGCACTGATCCAGGATGTCAGCACAAGATGGAACAGTACGTTCCACATGATAGAGAGACTCCTTGAACAGCGCTGGCCTGTCACTGCCACTCTTTCAGATCCTGAGGTAAGGGGAAAACACTACTTTGACTTGAAGCCAGAGCAGTGGGAGCTGCTTGAAGAACTGAAGCAAAGGTTGGCACTAGGGCTGTAACGATTCATTTTAACAACGATTCGATTGGAATCGCAATTCATGGTTGCCGATTCGATTCATGGGCGATCTGGGTTAATTTAGAACGATTCAATTCGATTCGATTCAGTGACTTTAAATCGATTCGGTAACTTTACTGGACAGTGCAGGCAAAGTTTCTGAGATCCCTGTTTTTTCTTGTAAGGAAATCAGGTTTAAATGAATTATATTTAATTAAATAAATTATAATATATTGGATATTATAAACAAGCAAACAACAATTAATGGCAAATGTATTACCTTTTATTTGAATCAAGTGCCATTTTCAATGTAAACATTACACAATAATTACACAATGTTTGGATCAATTTACAGAACCCCGGATTTTCAACCACATTGTAGGGTTCCGTGTCTTTACAGCTAAACTTGGCAATTGTTACTGTGATGTTGAGTTTCGTGCTGGCGAGGCCTGAGGCGTCTGCAGAGCTGGAGTTACCTTCTGCTGCTGCTGCAGCGGTAACGCTGCTAGAGGTCCTGACTGTTGGCGTGGTTTAATCCCACGGGGCCTTAGTTGATGGCCGGAAAGATTCGTCGTGTTTCTGTGTTTTTTTTATTTGGCTTCTACATATTCTACAAACAGCGACCGACTTATTTAGAACACCTCCGTGTTTGCAAAAGCCAAAATGTTCCCACACGCTGGATCGATAAGTTGGTTTGTAAATATCTTGCTCGCAGTAGTCTCCTCCACGCTGTGTTTTGTTGTTCCGAGTTTTTGCGCGGCTGCCGCTGCGTACTGATGACGTCACAGACAGGCAGACTGAATCGAGTAACGTTTAACGTGTCTAAAGTGCTAAAAAACAAACAAACAAACACACATCCATACAGTTTTTACACTTAAATCCAATGTGCAGTTTCCAAGTATCGATACAATCGATTATGTACCATTTCAATCGATTTGTAATCGATATATGTCGTCCGGAATGCCGATTTGCGGAGCACAGATCGATTCAGTTGGATCGTAGGAATATAAATCGATTAATCGATTCAGTGAATGAATCGTTACACCCCTAGTTGGCACCTTTTAAAACTGCTACTGTTTAGTGGACAGCAGTACACAACCATTTCAGGCCTTCCACAGGCAGTCAAAGGGCTGACACGGGCGGTACACCAAAGCCAATTTGAGACGAGCTCAGGAAAATCTTTTATTACCAGTGAAGAAAAAGGGATAAAAACCAGAGATGGGGGAGTATTTCCACTATCTCAGCAGACAAAGAAAATCCAGTTATTCTTGCAGCTGCCTTGGACCCCAAATACAGAAAGTTTTTGACTCCTGAAGATAGCATCAGACTGCAGGTGAGTGTTGAAGTGCTTGCTGTAAAAGAAGCAAAAACAACTGGGACACAGGATGCAAAACTGCAGAGGGCCAATAGTTCAGATAGAAAGAGTGCTCTGGAAACCCTCCTTCAGTCTGACACAGACAGTCAGAGTGAAAATGAGGATGGAGAATCTGAGGAGGACCGAAAGATCCACGTTGTGACAAGTGAAATTCGGCTGTACTTTGGAGAGGCCACACTCTAAAAAGGATGACCCCTTAAATGGTGGAATAAAAATGAGGGGTGTTTGCTGCCCCCGCTTTCTACAAGGAAAAGAGACATAGGCAGCGATCAGCAATCAAATTAAATGTTGGTGACGTTCATTTATATGTAAAAAGAATATCGGAGCACCGAAGATTATTGCACGCGATTTCAGAGAGGGTGCGATATGTCATTTATTGCATATTGCGACGGGCCTAGTCGTAAGCTTTAGTAGGTTTTTATGATGCTAGTGTAGGTCTCTCGTAATTGTGTTGATATGAAATTATTTTTATGCTAAGTGGAGGTTAATGTTAACTATTCAGAACGAACAAAAAGACAGGCTACAATAATTCACCGACATGCTGCTGCTGTGAAACAACAACTCTGTTTTGGTTTGGTTCACTGATGACAGGAATACAGGAAGTCCTTGCACGCTGTCGTGTATTGCAATGCTGAATGAAAAAGACCCGTAGCTCTGAATCCTTTTTATAATATACGACGCATCTGCGATAAAAATCTGCGTCGACGTTTTTTATAATCAACGTCGTTGATTACTTCGACTAATCGTTGCAGCCCTACTACGTAATACACAAAGAAGGTATTCAGAGGAAACAGGGTAATTGTATGTCATCAATAACAGCCTCAGCGTTCACTATTCACTCAGTGCTGTGCTTGGACATTACTTATGCCGTTAGAGCATCACTTTGCTTAAAAGATTTCAATGCAGTAGGTTCATGTGTAAATATGCCACAGGAGAAGCAATGCATTTGTCACAAACTGACAAAAAACAGTCAAATCAACGCATGCATTGCAGGGAGTGATTTAAAAAGAGGAATACAACTTAAAAAAATATGATATCCTGGTACCGATATGTAGGATCATACAATCTGACAATGGACAAGGGACAGAGAATATCCGTAGTAGAGGAGTTTCTAAAATTATTTGTTTCGTATCGTGCGTAAATACAAAGAAACTGAAGTATCAAAGCATGTATTTGTGTTTAATGATGTGAAAACAGACTTACCTGGATGTCTAGTGGAGTGCCACACAGTCTGTCTGGGTAAGCATTGTGCAGGTCAGACACTTTCTCCCAGTCTCCAGATCCCCTCTCATCGTCCCTGTCAAACCATTCTGTCCACTCGGCCTCTGTGAGACATGAATGTTAGTCCGACAGCCCAGTGGTAGATAGCATCGAAAAGTATTTGTAGCATTTGAAGGTTCTGAAGGAATTGTTCTCTGTCTGGCGTACAGTAGTAGCATTTGACTGGACTTGAATTTGAATCTGTAGTTCCATATTTAAACAAACACGTTCTTCAACAAAATCGAACAAAAACGTTCCTATACAACTGAACTAACTACTCCTGGACTACGGTTTGAACACGGTTAACATTGTTGAGAGAAATAATAATCACGCAATTCACCATGCATGGGAATGTCATCTTTAAGAGACAAGGCTGCATGCACACAGTATGCAAGGCTGCATGAGAATTATGACCTAATATCTCATAGCTTTTTCTACCCGTTATATCCATGTATAACACTTTACTTAGTTACACTGACGTTCTGTGACTGTTCTTCATTTTTGTGGGGTTCACCAGCGCTTTGTGTATTATATAGCCAGAACCTGAATGTCTTCTATACCAAATTGTGAGAAAATCTAGAAAATGTATTTTAAATACATGTATTTTAATACATTCATTTGAGTGGTATTCTTTTTTTCAAAAAACATTTTGATGTATTTTTGCCTGAGTGGAAGTAATAATTTGTCTAAGCTCTGCGAAGGCATTGCACAGCATTAATCGAAGTGGTTGGATAAGGGAAAGAACTTGTGAGGTAGGCATAAAAGGCAGGCAAGAAAGTAGTTTTTACGGTTTGAGCAATGTGAGGATTAGGTCATCCAATATAGCAACTATACATTCTGCTTTGGTTTAGGGAGCCAGGAGGAAGCAGCATCAAGCTGACGGGGAGAACGATGTGCGTGGTGACATTTAGCTACTGTAGCTTAATTACGCGTCCGTGCACTTTACATGGAATCTACTCGCGGGAATAATTCGCTTCGCTTTTGGTGTGAACGCAGCATAAAGTTTGGAATATTAGTTTAGGGCTTAATCCATTTGAAGTGAATTTAAAACGCCCAGAAAATGTTCCTCTCTCAGCCTGAAATATATCATGCTCCAGAGGTGAAGCATAGCTTCCTAAATTAAAAAAATAAATGAGTATATATAATAAATAGACTTATTTTTTAGCTAACACACGTACTCCCACACACACAAAAAATGTATAGATTCTGCTACCCAAGGCATGTATTTATATCCAAGTTTTTTAAATTTATATTTAAAAAGCAGTTTTCTTTCAATACCTTGCAAATGTGTAGTGTGATAATAGCTGAACATTGTGTTGACAAATTTAGTGACCACTAATTGTGAGACTTAATTTATAGTTGGTTATTTGTCCCTGATCTCAGGGTGGTGCCCAGTTAAAACATGTGTTAATCTTCTTTTTGACATTAATAATGAATGAATAATGTAAATTTCGTTTTACTATTAGAATAGATTAATTATTAATTAATCTCACATTTTCAAATGAATTAATCTAGCCGGATGGCCAGATCGTGACACAGAGAAGCCTGTGGGACACATAACATCTGTATATAGATGTAACAACTGTACATATGAGCAAGAAACAATTGAATTAGAATTGAGTAGAGACATATAGGTCAGCGCAGTGTTAATTTTGGCAGCTATTCTTGATTTAGTCTTAGTCTAAAGTAGACAAAAATGGATATTAGTTTTAGTCACATTTCGTCATTTTAATGCTTCTTGGTTTTAGTCTAGTTTTCGTCGACAAAAACCCAGAACATTTTAGTCTCCTTCTTAGTCGACGAAAACTAGACTAAAATGTAATTAGTTTTAGTCTAGTTTTAGTCACATTTAATGTATTTTTTCTTCCCTTCTCAGGCACCAGAACCCTCTGTGTTGTGTCTATAGCTGCATAATAGTCTAGCTTGCAGTACTTGGTTGTCCATTAGAAGTCCCTCCTAGGACAGGTCTAGCAGGGGTCGGCAAACTTTTTGATTCGCGGGCCACAATGGGTTGTAAAATTTGACGGAGGAGCCGGGCCAAGAACAAATGGTTGAAGTGTTTGTGTGAGCGAATATAAATGACGTGAAAAATCACATGAAAGGATTTGGATTTTAACATATAGCAAAGCATTTATTCGCAAAGCAATTTAACAAAGGTGTAACAACTTCATGAGGAGGTCTTTGTCTGTTTACTTGCAATGCTTTCAACATGGCCACCGGAAACTTCATGGTCCTTTATTGTTTCCACTGTGAAATTGCTTGTCCCAACAAAAGCCCCCTTAACGTCCTACAATCGTTGCAATACATTATTTTCTTGGCTGCATCATAAACCAGCCATTCTAAACTGGACCCCCACTTTTCATTCAACAGTCTTTTCTTTCTCTTTGTCTCTTTATTTATTTTTTGGTTTCATGACCAGTTCTTCTCTCTTGTGTCTTGTTTTCCTCCACCTGCTCTGTGCCGCCACATCCTTCACCTGCACTGCGCAGTTCTATCAAAAGGATCCACCTGTCACGTGTGTGCGTGCCTCTATGTTGCTTAGTAACGAGCGTACGGTGGCCGAGACGGTTTAACGCAGTCTTCTCACGATGTGGTGTGTGAACTATAGTTGAAATGCGTGAGTCTCACGGTCAATGCCTGAGGCTTCAGAACCTGCAATAAGTTTATTATGTTGGACGTGTTTGGAGAAGCCTGTAACGGACCGTCTCATCCACCCGAGGAAACGCAGCCTGCCGTCGCAAGAGAACAGAGCAAAAAGGTCCGCGTTGATCTCTGCTGGCCGACAGCCTGTTAAATGGGTCTTCATGTTTCTCTGAAGCACCAGGTTTAGCTTTAGTCAGCTAAACCGAGACAGCTGAGCTAAACTAAGGAAGCGCACATTCAAACTCACCGAACCACCAACTTTTTCGTCTCGTCTCGTTAACGAAAGTTAGAATAGATTTAGTCATAGTTTTTATTTTTTAAGATCGTTTTCGTGACGTCTTAGTCTCGTCTCAGTCATGGAAAAAAGGTTTGTTAACGAACATTTTTCGCCATAGTTTTCGTCGACGAAATTAACACTGGGTCAGCGTAGTGCAGCCTTTATTCTAATCAGATTTTAATTAACTCACATTAGAGGTCAGTACATAAACTCCATTTGTAACTTCATGGCTGTTTATTTGCAGTCTGCAGGACAGTGTATGAAAATCTTCTGTGTAACGCAAAAACTCCAATAGAGTGATACCACTTTGATCTAGTGATTGTGTGAGTTAAGTGAGTTGAACATTTATCTATATCACATTCATACTTTAAGAGCTAAAAGGGTGTCTGTAATATACAACAGCAAGGTTAGCCTGGACCAGCCCTGAGATAAACTACACCTGAGGACTTCTTTGGACACACTGAGCTGTTCTCTCTCCCTCCTTCTATAAGAATTCACATCTCCTTAATGCACACCGCTTATTGTTGGAATGCTGCTTCAGCAGCCTCACCCTCTCTCCCTTTCTCACCCTTTCTCTCCCGCTCCCCTTTCTCTCTTTCCATTTCTGTACTTTCAGCAATTTTTTAAAATTAATTTCAAATTTTCTCATTGCTGTATTTTCAGCTATTTTTTATTGCTGTATTTCAGCAGGAAATGCATTTTCTACTTCAGCTTCTTCAAAGACTTTTTGTGCTTTCTCTCCTCACACGTTTCCTGTGTGGATGTGAGGGTTGCAGGGTTGACTGTAAAGCCCTCTGAGGCAAATGTCTAATTTGTCATTTTGGACGTATAATTGCAATTGGATAAAATAAATTCAATTGGATTGAATAGAAATATAATTGAGGATCAGAATTTATGGCGTTCAGTGTGTTAGGGTCTTGAGCGCAATCTAAACAAAAAAACAAGTTATTATTTGAACAATTACAAAAGAAAAACTGGCTAACTGTTTGATGAAATTGAAATGATTGAAATTGAAATGAAATTGAAAGTCTGGGTCAGATGTTGCACATGTGCGCCTGGAATACCAGCACGAAAGCAATGGAAATTGAGCCCTGACACTCACAACCCACTCATTTCATCAAATCGATGACACCAACATCACCTTCAACAGCACTGTGTTTGTGTGTGTCAGACAGAGGAAAAGTCTTACCTTGCACCCATTGACTGATGGCGGTAACAGTGAAACGCTCCCCATAAGCCAACTGAAAAACAGCAGAGCTGCGGGCCTCTGAAGAAGCTTTGGTCCCTATCAACACATATGGATACATCTGTTGTAAATTGTTTTAAAATGCTTCTGTAACGCTGCTTATTTGAATAGCGTGCAGAACAGGAAGTGCTTTATTTTGTTGAACAACAGGAAGTGCATTGACTTTGTTTTGGCTTGATGTAATGCAACATCTCTGTGCATTTCTACTACAAATATTGATGAATCATTGACTCTTACCTTGATAGATGGCATAACCCTCCACTGCAGAGGACGCATGTCCTTTTGTTACTATAAAGGTCCAGGGATGCCTGTTAAGAAAAAAGAGATAAGATCGGAAGCAAGAAAGGAGAAGTGTGACGGACAATGTGGAAAAAAAGAGAGTTAGATACTAAGTCACAACTGAAATAAGCTGAGGAGATACACATCCATGAAGTTGGTAAGATAATTACGAACATCTGCCATTGACTTTGCCAAGACACACACTTATGCTAAACGACTGTACTCTGAGAAACTCCAACAACAGTTCTCAGCAAGTGACTCTGCTTCGGTTTGGAGAGACCTCAAACATCTCACTAACTACAAGCCAAAAACCCCCCACTCCATGAATGACCTCCGCCTGGCAGACAAGCTGAATGAGTTCTACAGCAGATTCGAAAGACAATGTCCTGATCCCATCCCCCACAGCTCCACCAACCTGCTGCAGTCCCCCACCCCTCCCTCCCCCAGCCCATCAGGTGCTCACGCCTCTACATCTATATCACCCCCCCCCCCCCCAGCAACGACCCGCTCTATTCTGGAGAGACGTTAACCAGCTCTTTAAAAGACAAAATCCCCGTAAGGCAGCCGGTCCGGACTCCGTTTCCCCTCACACCCTGAAGCATTGTGCTGACCAGCTATCTCCGGTGTTCACTGACATCTTCAACACCTCCCTGGAGACATGCCACGTACCAGCCTGCTTCAAGGCCTCCACCATCATCCCTGTTCCCAAGAAGCCCAGGATCACAGGGCTCAATAACTACAGGCCCGTCGCCCTGACCTCTGTAGACATGAAGTCTTTTGAACGGCTAGTCCTGACCCACCTGAAGTCCCTCACCGACCCCCTCCTGGACCCCCTGCAGTTCGCCTACAGAGCCAACAGGTCTGTGGACGATGCTGTCAACATGGCCCTCCACTACATCCTCCAGCATTTGGACTCCCCAGGAACCTACGCCAGGATCCTGTTTGTGGACTTCAGCTCTGCCTTCAACACCATCATCCCGTCTCTGCTGCAGGACAAACTTTCCCAACTGCACGTGCCCGACTCCACCTGCAAGTGGATCACAGACTTCCTGTCTGACAGGAAGCAGCACGTGAAGCTGGGGAAACATGTCTCAGCCTCTCGGACCATCAGCACCGGTTCCCCCCCAAGGCTGCGTTCTCTCCCCTCTGCTCTTCTTTCTGTACACCAACAGCTGCACCTCCAGCCACCAGTCCGTCAAGCTCCTGAAGTTTGCGGATGACACCACCCTCATTGGACTAATCTCTGGTGGGGACGAGTCCGCCTACAGGTGGGAGTCTGACCATCTGGTATCGTGGTGCAGCCAGAACAACCTGGAGCTCAACGCTCTAAACACAGTGGAGATGGTTGTGGATTTCCGGCGGAACAGAGCCCCACCCTCCCCCATCACCCTGTGTGACTCCCCCGTCACTATTGTGGATTCCTTCCGTTTCTTGGGCTCCATCATCACCCAGGACCTCAAGTGGGAGCTGAACATCAGCTCCATCACAAAGATGGCTCAGCAGAGGTTGTTCTTCCTGAGGCAGTTGAAGAAATTCAACCTGCCAAAGACGATGATGGTCCACTTCTACACGACCATCATCGAGTCTATCCTCTGCTCCTCCATCATCGTCTGGTACGCTGCAGCCACAGCCAAGGACAAGGGCAGGCTGCAGCGTGTCATCCGCTCTGCAGAGAGGGTGATCGGCTGCATTCTGCCGTCCCTGCAGGACTTGTTCGCTTCCAGGTCTCTGAAGCGAGCTAAAAAGATAGTAGCAGACTCCTCTCACCCCGGACAAAACCGGTTTGTGCCCCTTCCATCTGGCAGGAGGCTGAGGTCCATCAGGACTAAGACCTCCCGGCACACCAACAGTTTCTTCCCGTCGGCTGTCGGGCTCATCAACAGAGCTGGTCCCCCACTGACTGACCATAACATTCCACTGGTCACTCACCTTCATACCGCACATGTCACTTTAACTGTAATTTTTCACTTTGTTTTTTAACTCTATTCTCTTGTTTTATACTAACCCATAGCCTTATTCTACTAACCCATTGCATTAGCATTTCATTTTACTTTATTTTATTACTTGTGCACTGGTGTCTTGTTGTCTAGCCTGGCTTGCTACTCGCAATTTTTAGAAATAATTTTTGTCATAGGAATTGAATGTATTACACATATTTTACATTGTTACTAGGGGTGTAACGATTCATTTTAACAACGACTCGATTCGAATCACGATTCATGGTTGCTGATTCAATTTATGGACGATCTGGGTTAATTTAGAACGATTCGATTCGATTCAGTGACTTGAAATCGATTCAGTAACTTTACTGGAGAGTTTCTGAGATTCCTGTTGTTTCTTGTAAGGAAATCAAGTTTAAATTAATTATGGATATTATAAACAAGCAAGCAACAATTAATGGCAAATGGATTAACCTTTTATTTGAATCAAGTGCCACATTACACAATAATTACAAAATGTTTGGATCAATTCACAGAACCCCGGATTTTCAACCACATTGTAGGGTCGCATGTCTTTACAGCTAAACTTGGCAATTGTTACTGTGATGTTGATTTGGTGCTGGCGAGGCCTGAGGTGTCTGCAGAGCTGGAGTTACCTTCTGCTGCTGCTGCAGCGGTAACGCTGCAAGAGGTGCCTGACTGTCGGCGTTGTTTAATCCCATGGCGCCTTAGTAGATGGCCGGAAAGATTCGTTGTGTTTCCGTGTTTTTTTATTTGTCTTCTACATATTCTATAAACAGCGACCAACTTATTTAGAACACCTCCATGTTTGCAAAAGCCAAAATGTTTCCACACACTGGGTCGATAAGTTGGTTTGTAAATGTCTCGCTCGCAATCGTCTCCTGACCACTTTGCCTGCACTGTCCAGTAAAGTTACTGAATTGATTTCAAGTCACTGAATCGAATCGTTCTAAATTAACCCAGATCGTCCATGAATCGAATCGGCAACCATGAATCGCGATTCGAATCAAATTGTTGTTAAAATGAATCGTTACACCCCTAATTTCAACCATATGGATAAAAATCATTATCATTACATTCCAAAATATCTTTTTCAAGAGCTCACCGAAATTCCAGAGTGCTTATTAGGTGGCTTCCCACCCTAGAGAGGCTCTTCTTGGCCAAGTCTTCCAAGTTGTTGGACCCCTCGTCATTGACCACCATGGCCAGTATCAGCCCTGCCGCCACACCATCCACATACTTTGCAAGGCGACGACTCTCATCCTTACTACTGTATGTGTCAAATCTGTCGGCGTAAAAGAGAACGAAATTATTATAGCGTCCATTCAACGTAAAACAAAAATGGGCTTAAAAATGCATTTTGAAAACCCCACAGCATAAAACCATCCTAGGTACTCCAGCATCTATGATGAAAAATCATGAAATTTTCTTATCTTTAGAAATGCATCATTGGGTTCCTAGCAACTAGTGATTGTTTGGTCACAAATCTTCACTTTTACTTAAAATAATTTACATTCTGAAAAATATGGAAGTTTTGATTAATGAGGTCATTTTTTATAGTAATAATCGCTGAATTTGTGTATTTTCCTGTTCAAATACAGGATTGCGCAATCCCTCTTAAGCCCGGTTGAGCTGCTCATGTTTTTGCTCGATTGAGTATGAGCATGTGTGCAATTAATGTCTCTATATGTCACCAATGTAATGTTAGTACAGAGTTTTCATCACATGTCCTCACATCCCATAGTCTGGGTCTTTTATTTCACGTATGTTAGTCATGCTGATCTGACAGCGCAGTTAAAAAGCGGTAAAGGGAGGCAGCTGGACTGGCAGCCTCCCTCCCTGCTTTTCACTGCTGCGGAGGCGAAGCCAGTACCTTTGTCTCACTGAATGAGCCGTGTGTGAGCACACACGCTTGTTCTGCTATGGTTTTTCTTCACGTATTACACACTGGCACAGTTAGAATGTGCAAGCTAAACAGTCAAGTAGCGAACGTCAAGTTTTCCTTATCCTTGAAAACTGAAAACATAATCTGAATCGGACTGACCAAAGACGACTTTCCCCCTGAGCAATAATGTCTATTGAGACAAAGAGACTGTTAGATAGAAGAGGACTTTTACACCAAAGTCATAGACATGTTTTTTTCAGAAGGATTGGCGAATGGACGGAATTTACAAGTAAAGGTGACAGCATGAATACACTGCTGTACACGACAAAAATAAAAGACCATCCCTATTTTAATAATATTTAAAAAATATAAAAGAACATTTAAGCAATAAGGTACAAGAGGCTGTACTTTATGGTCAATAATGCACTGTTCCAGGGTGTTGTTGGCAAACCGTGGAAAATCCACGCACTTGGCTGTTACTATGCAACAGACAAACAGCATTGGGAACTTCACGTTTGTTAGCCTAGCACCAGACATAAGTTGAGGATTAGCAAGGAGATCAACATTAATTTGGGCGTCTCATTCATTCACTTCGCTCATGACGTCCACCTGAATTGTCCTCTTTGGCTAAAAGGTGCCCTGAATCGGTTGCGAAAGCTTGCATTTCCCAAAACTGCTGATTTGTGCCGTTTCCGGGCTGTTTTTAGGGCATCGCCACCAAGCTAAAAACTGAAATGACAACCAACGGTCACGCAAAATCTAACTGTTATTTTGATCACCGCACTGATATGAACGCTCAGGTCAATGTAATCAGGTAACATTACATTGTGGCTCCATTCAGTACACCCCGTGACTCACTCGCAACCAATCAGAACGCTTGATTTCATCTGCCCCATATTATAAAAGACTACACGATAAGGGATATGAAACAAAACCAGTAGTCGAAGTACAAGCTGCCAGTTAAATATTTGTGAATCTGACTTTGAAAGAGTCAGTGCCGCCCCCAGCCACGAACCTCACCACACGTCACTGGTCCAAGCGGCAGAAAAAAGACTTGCGGGAGTTATTCAACTTGCATCTCCAACGTCTCACCATTGATTAATTAATGGCAAGTTTATGTGCATTGCTCTGTTTCCGTCTCTGACAACCACATTTGTTGCCCGTAACTTGCATCTGTCTGTCTCGCTGTCGCGCGTTAGCCCGGAAAAAAATATACATTAGCCGCACTGTTGTATAAGCCGCGGGGTTCAAAGCGTGGGAAAAAAGTAGCGGCTTATAGTCTGGAATTTACGGTAAATATGTGCAAATAACAGAGATGCAGCAGACACTACCACTTTGCAGGCACTTTGCGAATATCTTTTCTTTTAAAATCTAAACTCAACCTGTTTTTCTTTCTTACAATTGTTTATTTGCATTAATACATTACAATTCATTTAAGAGAAAATAAATCAGGAGCATACCTGCATGAAAGATGGCAGCTAAAATATCCACTAATGTGCACTGAGACCTTAAGGTGAGCAACCAATGACATTAGTAAAACATTATCTCACTTCAAAGAAATATTTGTCCCTCCTCTTCTAATTACTAACTAATAATTTAGCAGTTGTCTATGAGTAAATTAGAGCAGCCTTGATCCATGTCAATGCAATTTGTAATTTTTAGATAATGAGTAAAGACTCCTCATCTAAAACTTACAATCATGTATTTAACCACAATAAAGGCTATACATTGTATAGTATACAACATGTTTTGGATAATTAAGCATCAAAAGATATGAAGAATGACTATTACTACTCATGCACAAAACAAAGCAAGAGATATCAGAAGCACATTTGCTGTCTCCTTTACTACAACCTTCTAGTTAGACGGCTGACTAGATGTCAGCCAACACCCCCTTTCTGCTATAATTAAGAGTCTCATGTTCGTTCAGACGCAGCCTCTGTTCTGAGGGGTACCCTACCTGTCATTGTGCAGCACCTCTCCAGTCTTGGGGTCAATGACATGGATAATGATGCCTCGGCTCCCCCAGCTTCTCTGGAACAGGTAGCTGTTTTGGTTGCTCTCTCCGGGGTGCAGTGTCTTGTTGAGGAACGTCCATGCCAGCTTATTTTCTCCGTGGATCTCTAGTGTCCCTCCTGTCCCCACGCCAAGGTACTTTTTCCCAAAGTAACTGTGTTCATTATCACTGTCATCCAATCTGTAAAACAGGGTAAGATAACGCTTATAGGAAATGTAACAGATTAACAGCAGCAGAAAACATTGTAAAAAACAATTATATTATAAAAAACGCAAATATGGAACAGTGATAAAAACAATTAAGAATCCAAAATAACCAAAATATTATTTATACAGGCAGAATAACCATTATAATAATTATTTTAGTGTATTTATAATGCACAGGTTTGGTTTTGTGTACTGGGAGCAGTTGATCATATTTTAATAGTCACCATATTTCTGTGTGGAAGAAGACTGAAAGTCCGGAACCATGCAACAGCTTAGCAGCAGTAGTAGTTGCAGTAGTAATAGTAAAGCTGTTGTGGTAGTGTGGTATATGTTATGAACCTATGTTTATTTATTTATGTTCATGGAGAGCTTTACATGTGGGGACCCAGGGAGGAGGAATCTGCGGCAGGTAAACCAACACCATCATAAACCAACACCATCATAAACCAACATTTCCCGCTACTTTCCTGAAGTCTTTGAGCTTTGCCTCCCAGCAGGCTTCTGTGGATGGTGGTTATGGGGTTGCTACAGTATAAAACTCGCGGGCCGCACTAACATTAAACTTTCATATTAAGGTGGGGGGCCACAAAATATTGTCCCGAGGGCTGCAATTGGCCTGCGGAACGAGAGTTTGAGACCCCTGCATTAGAGGCTTCTTAATTAGCCACGCTGGTTTAATGGATCACAATGTCTCCCTTTACAGGCATAACATCAGCTACCGTATAACCCACAGTACACTGGACTACCGTATATGACAGCATTAAAACGTACAACACACACAAATATATATGTCAACAATAACCGATATGTAACAAAGCACGAAATATATACAAGACAACAGATTGAAAAATGAATGGTCCAAAAGAGGCGAGTAAATAAAAACGTGTCTTAGTCTTGCTAACTGCTTTACTGCTATTATTAGCGAGCTAACGCTAGCTTGATCAGCTGGATGACGAGTTAACAGGAGGCTCTGTTACGTGGCTCAGTCTGTATGGTGGCCTGGACACAAATCGGCAGGTGAACAAAATGTTTTCTCAACCAAAAATTTCCGAGGACCCCCTGTTGAAGACCTCTGGCATAGTAGATGCTGAAAGTTAATATAAGCCTCACCGTGTCAGACTGCTCAGTGTGCCGGTTTGGGTAACCGATACAAAGTCAAACACCCTACTCCGGTCTTACTTGGTGGATCTACCTCAGGGGGTGGTGCGACGCAACCAACTGCACTACATACCTCTACATACCTACATCTACATCCTGAAACAAACTCTAGAGCTGGAAATAGAATTTCCCAAGTATGTTGGTTACATTGTTCTTCCATTCAGGATTAAGGCTCCCATCTTAATCCCTAACAACAAAAGAGGAAGAATAATCCTGCAAGGTCTGAGGAGAAAGGCAGTCTACCATTTGTTCTCTAGAAAGGGGAGATGTATTTGTTATAAATCTATGTTGATATGTGTACAGTATGTTCATGGGAAGCTTTAATTGTGGCGACTTAGGACCCAGGCGGGGGTGACCTGGGGCAGGTATTGGGGGATTGGGGCAGGAGAGCATGCGGGAGTTGAAATTAAGAGTTGCAGGTCCTTCTCATGTTTATTCAAGAACACAACACATAGTAGTAGCAGTAGAATTTTTCTTGGTGGCAGCCGTAGTAATGGTTGTAGTTGCAGTAGTATTGGGAGCAGCAGTGGTAGTAGGAATGCCGGTAGTGTTAGCATTAGTTGTAGTCATGGTAGCAGTGGTAGTAAGAGTTGTTGTGGTAGTAATAGGAGTAGCAAAGCCCTCGTGAGAGTAGTAGTAGCAATGGTAGTAACACCAATATTTATAGTAGTAATTGTTTTTAACGTCATTTTCCCGAAAAACATTTTATACAATACATACAATTTGTATCCATGTACACAAAACCAATAGATTTCATTTTGTAAATATTTCACATACTGCATTGCAACTGTGTTGGTTGTAATGCTGAACTTCATACAACTATACCTTCCATAAAGGGAGATGGTGAGGTTTCCTTTATAAGGACAGGCTGGGCTTCCAATGTGCAATTCCCCCTTGTTCCCAATCAGAATGTGTTTTGTTCGAAGCAGTATGGCCCGGTTGGTGTCAGCAATCACCAGCTTTCCTAAAGGGAGAGGTAGGATGGAAGTTAGGAAGCCTTTCATGCCCCAGTGGTCTCAGACTCGTCTTACCATTTAAGGCCCTGGGCTCAGTTTGTCCACAGACACAGAGCAGATGTTCTGTACTTGGCCAACCGCCAGCGTTCTCAGGTCTACAGCCCAATAAATCCAGTTACTGTGTTTGCACTTTAGTAATATTAATTTTATCAATATTTAATATTTGATGTATTATGAATTAATTTGAGCTTTTTGAGAAGGGACGGTGCAAATAAATAAATGCACATGGTACACAGCAAGGGATGTTGCTTGAAATTACATTGTTATATGTGAAACACAGTAAACACCATTTAAATCATTTGGTTTAGCGTTCTAAAGAGATTTTCTTATTTAAATGAAAAATCAATGCCTGGAAAAAACAGCAGATACTGCATTACATATAAATAATATACTAAAACATGTCAAATTAAGTAATTTAAAAGATATCAATGGGTATTTTTAAGAAGAAGAGGCTGGGCTGGTGGAGGCTGTGGCAGCAGTCTTTTGGCATGTAGATTTTAGGAGAGTAATAGAGTGAACCGAATGTTAACTGGTTCTCTCGATGATGCACCATTGAGCCAATGATACTGAGCATGAATAAAAAAGCTGACCATCAGATTGTGTGACTGTTAAAAGTGTCAATATCATAGAAGGAGAAAAAACAATTAGTTGAATGTGGTTCAGATCTAATTAATTCATTTTGTCTTTCTCCTCCCTATTAAAGTTGACGTAGTGAATAGTCGCCATGACGAAGCCCATGGATTTGTAGACTGCATCGAGTTTGAAAACTTCGCCATATCGGTTTTTGAAGTGACTTTTGAAAGAGACTAACTGAACCCTTTTTTCCCGGCAACCTACATGTACACACTGAATATGGGTTTATTGCGGTTAGAAGAAAACACAGACAACTTCCAGCCTGGAAAATGCTATGGTAGCAATGTGTCACTGTCTGGCTCTACCCAACAGCACACTGCTTTGTGGTCTATTTGACTGTAAATATACCATGATTAACTAAATGAATATTATGCTGTTGTGAAGGAAACTTGAAAATAGAGACAATACATAATGTTTACTAGATTTACTAAGGGAATAAATTAAAAAAGTAGACCTTTCCATAGACCTCTATTCAACCAGATCTAATGTTGCTTTAAGACATGAAGCACTGACTGTAGACCTGTGTGGTGCACGGCTTTTCTACAGCATTATACCCGTTCATATCAGGGATTTAATTTAAATCCCACAACGATGTCAGATCCAGGTATTTAGATTTCTTTGACTACCATTTCACTGTAACGTCAAAGAAGATGGAATTGTCCCGCTTACCTCCACCAAGAATCTCAATGGAGTGGACGGTAGCTGAAGTGGTTAGGAGAACCTTCCTGCCATAACCGATTGTAACACGGTGGTCTTCATTGTGTCCTGGCATCCATGGCTGCAGTCCTGGCTCCTTATCCGGACACACTGAACAAGACATCAAATATACCAATAATTAACTTAGAAAGACACACGCATGTGTGAATGATAAGTTACCAAAAAGCAGGTGGCACTGTGTATGATAGCTCCTGTGAATGGGTGAATTAATAGTGGTAAAGAGCTTTGAGTGGTCAGAGACTAGAAAGGAGAAATATGAGTACAGTCCATTTACCATTTATAACTTATCAATATGTGGTGGAAAGTAATTTATTGCATCTAATCAAATACAATACTTAAGTACAATTACTTTTCTGGAGTGAATACATTTTATATTAATTTATACTTCCATCTACTACATTTCAGAGATAAAGAATGTAGATGTGGCAACACCACGTTGCACAACCACCTGGATTCTACATTCTAACCAATCTCCCGTGTGAGAATAGTCAGGATGGAGGTTGTGTCAAAGCATTTTGGGTGCCAGCTGCAGGACTACTCTGCTGTCCCATCCCGTCGGCTCCTACGAACGCAGTCGAAGGACGCAGCCCTCAAGGAGCCGATCTGATCTGTCCATTGTGGCCCAGCATATCCCACAATGTAGTGTGGGCCAACAAGGATTTCATTTATTCAGTACTGAGGATGGTGAGCAGACAGCGGGAAGGAGTTTACTTTTAAATGTAACGTGAAGTAATAGAATTCACTCGAATATCTATTGATATAAATGTTATATTATAATATATGACATCACATTTATGTTCATAAAATGGCGTAAGTTACGTGTCCTTGGTAACCAATGTCATGTTTTAAATACACATACGGCGCTAGAATAAATTGCTTTTAGTTATCTACGTTAACTCAGTCCTGCACTTAACCCAGACCGCCCCCTCACCTGAACCTTCCTCGGCCCATGTACTGTCGCTTATTAACATCAATGTACCAACACACATTTATAACAAATACACAACGAGCAGTTCACGTTACCGGGAGCCGCTGCGCTTTAATGACTTAACTTTCATACTTAAGAAGCCGACTAATATCCTACTGAGGGTGTGACAGTTTTATAGATATAAATAGAGATAGATAGAGATAGAGATTTATACTACAGATTCTAAACAAAAATGGATCAAAGTGAGCTCAGGTGTAAATGTATGATCCTGAAATACCATAGCCTAGAAAAACATTACATATAAATAATACTAAAACATGTCAAATTAAAAAAGTAATTTAAAATATATTATCAATGGGTATTTTAAAATGAAGGTGGACAAGTTATGATCCTGAAATATCATACAATCAATAAACAAACAAAGAAACTTGCTTTGCTCCTTTTGTTTTGTTGTGTGATTATAAACTAACTTTACATTTGTTTTATGGAGCCAGGAGGCAGCAGCACCATGCAAGGAGAACGATGTGTATGGTGACATTCAGCTACTGTAGCTTGGACATATTCTGTAATATCTTACGGTTACATTTAAAATAGCTTGTCTCCTATGCAAGAAAAATATTTATACTATAGTTATTGTATTGTTTTATAATATATAAGTCCTGGCATACAAGTTAATGTTTTTACTGTTGTGGTTTTTATTGACAGTATTGATGGAATCTCCTCTGTCGTGAGATTGCATTATTGTTAATTTAAAATAACCGTAAAGTGTTGTTCTCCTAATTGGAAAAATGTCATGCCCCTGGAGGAGAACCATATGTTCCTAAATTAAAGAACAATATTTTCTCAATCTGTATGTTCTACATTTTTCAGCTTTTAATGCTTTTACTGTCAAGCGCAGCAGGTTGCCAGGCAAGGGGAGCAGTGGAGGTTAAATTGACGCAACCAGAAAGTCCCTCCGTAGGCCAGACCGTCAAAGTTCAGTCTATGCGGGTATTGGAGGACCCAGCCCAGGCCTACACGAAGGCTAGGTCCTACAAGGATGCAGCCTAGGCAATTGGGACTTTGATGCTCACATGGGCAGCAATGGTGAAACTTGATGCTCTTCCCAGCGCAACTCCTTAAAGGAGGACAGGGCATTGAAAATCTGGACAGTCCGGCCTAAATCCGGATGTCTGGTCACCCTAATCTGCACAGATCTGTACATAACGTCCGGTATCTACGCGAGAAACAGCTTGGCGAGCGCATGTTGTGGAGGAGGGAGGAGGGGTGAGGGGGGAGCTGGCTCATTAGCATTTAAAAGAACAGACACTCAACAGGTCAGTCTGTGGAGGGCTGTTTTAGACAAGGTAAAAAGATTGCGGTATTAAATGATCCTTGTGGTATTTTGACCAAAGTATGTTACAGAAATTTTATTAAGACCCCCAAAAACCATATCAACTTGTGGTAAAATGGGCATACGATGTGTCCTTTAAAGTATGTTGGTTCCTCACAAGGAAGGTCAAATGTCAAAACTTGTCACTTTCACTTGCCATTTTCTGTTCGCTGGTGCACTTTATTTTTAATTTTGAAATATTTTTAACTTTTTGCTTTTATTCCTTTATTTTTTAACTACAGTATAATACTAACCCATAGCATTATATTTTATTTTATCCCTCTTGCACTGCTGTCCAGTCGTCCATTGTCGTACTGTCTGCTGTTATGCACCAACCGCCAAGTTAAATTCCTTGAATGACTAACATATTGTGGCAATAAATGTTTCCTGATTCCTGATTAGTCAGCTTAAATTAATCTCAATATTGAAGTCTATGAAGGCTATTACGATTTGTCAAAGGTTGATCGGCAGTCAATTTCTCATCATCTTGTTAATTTAGAAAAACTTCAGTAATTGCCCGTGTTCTTCCTACTTTAAAAGGGGAAACAGTCGATCACCAAAACCATGACCATGAGTCTCTCTGCTGACGAGCAGGAGATGATAATCAACGCATATGAGGAATGCAAGACCATAATATGCATATTTTAATCATTTCTGTGGTATGAATTGAATGTATTGTATATTTTTTAAGTTGTTCATTGTGTACAGATGACATCCATTGAAGTCTGTCCACCGCGGTATAAGGATCCCTCCTCTGCCCTCCGTTTCATACTCCTGTATTCTTCATAAGGCTGTTTGTCTCCCTAAAGTTTTTTTTTTTCTTTTTTCCCAATTGAAGGGTTTTTTATTTATTCAGTTTAAGAGAAAATAATTATCTCAACTCTTTCAGAATAAGTAGATAAAAACAAGCCCAAAGTGTATCTAATTGATACGAATTAAGCACCAAATAAACTTCCCGAATAGCACAGCATGCAGCGGCGTTCCCGATGTTCTTTGCATCGCCAACAGTCAACAAAAATGTACCACTCGCAAAAAAGAGCAAGGCTAAGCACACAGCCTCTCACACTGTGAGACAGTCGATGCTTGACTGTGGCGTGTGGTGTTCGCAATGTACAACTTAAGAGCCAAACTCCTTGTAATGTCACATACTTATTATTATTAATTGCCTTATTCTCTTCCGTACAAAAGTTTGGCACGCTTTTCCTCCCGCACCGGTGATCGGAATTGTCTCAAACTTTCGGGAAACGTAAATATGAAAAACTTAAATTTGTTGATAATGTGTCATAGAACGTAACGTTGAAAGAGACGATATTATCATTAAAATTGTCATAATAATTGATGAACTGGTCCGTGAAATTTGGTCTACATAAAAACGTGATTTCAATGTTTTTAATATTTCTCTTCATCAAAACGTCATACATATGGAACTACAAACTGTGTGCTGTTAATAAGTTGCTTTTAGGACATAGTAACGCGGGCAGTTTCAAATATTACTTGTGTAGTATCTTGGATATCGTCATGTTTTGATGATGTCACCAAGGTGCGCGGTTGTGCGCAAGAGTAAATAATAAAGATGGACGCATACAGCGCCGGCTACTCAAAACTTGCGTATTATGTGTCGGACTTTTACAACTAAACCCACAAATACTACAACTTTTGAATACGTGCAGAAAACTCTGCTTACATCTGTAACGCGCATGCGCGAGTAGAGGCGCGCAAAAGAGCTTAGACCGGATGCAGAACGAGGCGAAGTTTATTCGGGAGCAGAGCGATCAACTGGCTGCTACAACCAAGGCTACAGGCTCCTGTAAGTACGTGAGTGTTTGAATGAAGCACACCTGGAACTAAAACCAATTGTTTTACTTGTGCTGCCCACTCGACATGGGAAAGGCTGTTTTTTTTGGTAAGCTAGTTAGCGTTACTGCTAGTAGTTTGCTAGTTAGCATGCTAACTGTATTATTGAACAAAATATAATGATTTGAATGGAATAAACACGTTGACCAGAGGAATCTGCAATTCAGGGGTGTTCTGTGCACTCAGTCTTCCTTTATACAAAGAATCGTCAAGTGAGGATGAGGAAGAAGTAGCTGATTTGAGGTATACTGTCCCAATTCAAGTGGCTGAAAATTACCTTCCAATGATTCAGAAAAAAAAGACAGTCCGTCTGTCCAATCGGAAGGGTCCATATAATGCTATGGGTTAGTAGTATAAGGCTATGGGTTAGTTTAAAAATATTAGAAATTAAAGATTAAAAATAAAGTGCACCATTTGACAAAGTGACAAGTGACGTGTGTAGTGAGAAAGAAAAGTGACTGGTGGAATGAGTCAGTCGGGGACCGGACTCTGTAGATGAGCCCGACTGCCAACGGGAAGAAACTGTTCCTGTGGCTGAAGGTCTTAGTCCTGATGGACCTCAGCCTCCTGCCAGATGGAAGGGGCACAAACAATTTTTGTCTGGAGTGAATCTTTTTAGCTCGCTTCATGGTCCTAGAAGCGAACAAGTCCTGGAGAGACGGCAGATTGCAGCCGATCACCCTCTCTGCAGAGCGGATGACACGCTGCAGCCTGCCCTTGTCCTGTGGCTGCAGCGTACCAGACGATGATGGAGGAGAAGAGGATGGACTCGATGATGGCCGTGTAAAAGTGCACCATCATCTTTGGCAGGTTGAATTTCTTCAGCTGCCTCAGGAAGACCAACCTCTGCTGAGCCTTCTTGGTGATGGAGCTGATGTTCAGCTCCCACTTGAGGTCCTGGGTGATGATGGAGCCCAGAAAACGGAAGGAATCCACAGTGGTGATGGGGGAGAGAAATCTAAAACCATCTCCACTGTCTTTAGAGCGTTGAACTGGGTGATATAGAGGTGTGAGCCCCTGATGGGCTGGGGAGGGTGGGTGGGGGACTGGGACAGATTGGTGGAGCTGTGGGGGATGGAATCAGTTAAAGTCCCAGAGAACAATAACTAAGCAGTCCGGGTTGGTCCGCTCCACACGCCGTATCTGGTCGGCGAGTGTCCGCTGTGCCTCGTGCACGTTGCCCGCTGGCGACATATAAACACCGACCAGGACGAATGACGCGAACTCATGGGGGGAGTAAAATGGTTTACAGTTGATGAAGAGAGTTTCCAGATCAGGAGAACAGTGATGTAGGATCACTTTTACGTCGTTGCACCAGCTGGTGTTGAAGAAGAAGCAGATTCCTCCACCCTTCGTCTTGCCGGAGAGCTCCGTGTCACAGTCCGCTCTGAGCAGCTGGAAGCCCGCCAGCTGGAGTGCGGAGTCCGGTATCGATCCGCAGAGCCAGGTCTCCATGAAGCACAAAACGGAGGATGTAGAAAAGTCTCTGTCTCTCCTCACCAGCAGCTGAATTTCATTCAGTTTGTTGCACAATGAGCGCACGTTGGAGAGAAAGATGCCTGGCAGCGGTGTGCGAGAACCACGCTTACGGAGTCGCACTAACGAGCCGGCCCGTTTTCTTTCCCTACGGCGTCTCACCGCCTGATGAAAGGTGAGCGCACCTTTGACTAGAATGTCCAGTAATTCCACAAAAGAAAGAAGAAAATTAAGTCCGCTGGAGTTGTTCCTCGGATGTCCAAGAGCTTATCGCTGGTGAAAGAGCTCCGGGAATCGCAACAGGAAACATTATTAACAAAAACAACAAAAAACCAAGCGCACCGAAGCACCGTGGCAGCCATCGTCGGCTCCATCTTGGATCATAATCCCCTAACCCAGCGGTTCCCAAACTCAAGATAGCCGCGGCCCACCTTGAAATCTGAAAATCTTTCGCGGCCCACCCAAACCTTTAATCACAACTCTGATCAAAACATAATGATTAAATGACCTTAAGAATTTAACCAAAATCAAACATCTGCGAGCAAAAGTTATTTTATTATTTGTTAATAAAATATTATTTGTTATTTATTTAAAAAAAACTTATTTTCCCCGTTAAGATGGTTCAGCTACTGTAAAGAAAAGGGCACCGTCTCTCGCTCTTTAATCTCATTAAGTGCTCGGCGAGAACGATAGCTTTTGTTTCTCCCGACGCGCCCTGAAACAAGCTCCATATCTCACGCGCTTGAGCACCGCTCAGCATCTCGCCGTCGTTAACCGATTAACCAATTGATCCATATATAAGGCGCTCCGGATTATAAGGCATCGTCGTTTTTTTGAGAAAATTAAAGCCTTTTAAGTGCGCCTTGGAGTGCGGAAAATGCGGTATATTTACTTTAATACTACGAGAGGGCGCCCCGTTTGTTGAACAACGACAGGCGGACAAGAGCAGCCGTTTCGAGCGAGAGCCTTATTGTTTTATTAATCTGTCAGTTTAAATTGTTTGTGCTTCATCAACTAATGTTTCACATAACTAATGTGCCACATCATAAATATTTTTATATTAATTTCAAACTTTTTAAAATTGAAAATTAAAAAACTATTTATTTATTGTAAATGACCTCTTGCGGCCCACCTGCAGTACCTTCGCGGCCCCCTGGTGGGCCGTGGCCCACACTTTGGGAATCGCTGCCCTAACCTGTCTCCACTCATTCCAAAACCCAAATCAAAGACTGATCGTCTTTAACTGACTGGTGTATGTTCCTTCAGCCATATCACCTAGATGTACGGCATGTAAAAGGCACTGAAAATATACTGGCTGATGCCATGTCCCGAGTTATAACTATTTAAGCTAACTTGTGTTCTCTAACTCCCTGCAGTGGCTCTGCCCGTGTGTTCGGTGTTGGGACACTTAACAGCCTTGACATTCAACACTATTGCAACATCGTGATCCTGTAGATACACGCTCTCCAAAATCAGGAGAATACGCCCCCTTCTCACTCAGAAGGCGGCGCAGGTACTGATCTCCCGCCTCGACTACTGTAACACTCTCCTGGTAGGTCTCCCTGCCACAGCCATTCAGCTCATCCAGAATGCAGCAGCTCGACTGGTCTTTAACCTTCCGAAATTCTCCCACACTACTCCACTCCTCGGCTCTCTTCACTGGCTACCAGGCTTCCAGTTCAAAACATTGGAGCTCACGTACCATGCTGTGAATGGATCGGGTCCAGTCTACATCCAGGACATGGTCAAACCCTACATCCCACTCCGCTCTGCATCTGCCAAATTTCTTGTTCCTCCCTCACTGAGAGCTAAACACTCAACGAGATCACGACTCTTTGCTGTCCTGGCTCCAAAATGGTGGAACGAGCTCTCTGATGACATCAGGACCGCAGAGAGCCTTCACATCTTGCGCCGCAAACTAAAGACACACCTCTTCAGACTTTACCTTACCAACATGTAGCACTTAAATTGTACTTATAATGGCACTTAACTATAACAAGTTGTAAATTGCACATTCCTGTTTCCTGTTCTTCTGAGTTTTTATCCCTATGGTTGAATGCACTTATTGTAAGTCGCTTTGGATAAAAGCGTCAGCTAAATGACATGCAATGTAATGATCTGGGTGCTGAACCAACCTCTTAAGCTCCAAAGCTCCCTCTGGACATAGCAAATAACTGCCTTAATGAATTTACTAAACAAAGTTATATTTGAAGTCACATGTCAGATTAAACAGCGGGGCCCTTAAGGTTAAGATTTTTGTCTTGCCTTCTCTTTCGTTTGATACCCTATTTATTGTATCCAGTAATGTGAATCAGTTTCACATCACAATGCGTATAGGGTGATGGACTCGTATTTCATATAAATGTTTATTGTCCTCAGCCTGTTTGTAGAAAATAAAGAGAGGTCAATATATGTCCTTAACTCACCTGCTTGATAGCTGGGGAGCAGCAGAGCTGCCATAAATATGGCACATGTCTTCATCTCTCCTAACCCGCTGCTGACCAACTTTACACAGAAGGCCTAGGAAGGGTGCTTCACAACTTCAAGTGGGCGTCACGTAAGAAGGATATCCAGTGGATGGGCCAAGTTCACAGCGGGAGGACTTCAAAGGCACCTAGAACAAGACATTGAAATGCAGATGACTCAACAGGACCAATACTTTTGCATTTAATGCCCCACAAATAAAAGGAAGACAGGAAAACGAATGTAGTACATAACTCTTGCCGTTTATTGAATGTCTAACCCTATGTCAAGGCAAATATTTCTGGGACATATGTATCCAAGAAAAAACTTTAAAAATACTGCATGTGTAAAAGAATATTAAGAGTAGAAACCATGAAATCAAGGAAACTCATAAGTACCTCAGATGCGTAATTATAAAAACATCAACAGCGTACCATTGAATGTAAACAAAAAAACACTAAATTAGCACCCATACTCTCCACAAACTGACTATATGAACTCATACATGAACTAATGCAGTCAAGAATGAGAACACCATGGAGCTGACCGCAGCAACTGGCTAGCAACCTTAATCCTGTAGTGACTGTAAAACAAACAAAATAAAACATTAAGAAAAACTGTCGGTGGTAAAATGCCTCTTCCAACAGGGGCTGTTTTTTGGCCTCTGCTCTGAAAATGTGTAACAACTCTAGAAATACTTGTGAGTGCTATGATGTGTAAATATCAGTTTATATGTTACTGGTGAAGAGATATATTAATATTACATACAAAAAAGATTTTGAATTTTGAAACAGCCCTTCAGATCCCATACAACATGTATAAACGTGGCTAAAAACACATCCACGTGGTAGCCCACGGTACACATGGAAAGTTTCATGTTGAGCTACTCTAGAGAAGGCTTTTCTGAAGGTCAGAGGAACGGCTGGCCAAGATTCTTAATAATTTTACAAGTCGAGCTCACAGTGGTCGATCCGTTTCATTCCACCACCTTACTGATTTGTCTAATCAGCCTGAATACGACTAAAGTGATAGCAAATGATCGAGAGCTTCCCCAGCCACTTAGAAAAAACGGGTAGAGCGTCAGATAACAGTTGAGATTCTTGATTGGCTCAAAAAAAACTACCAAAAGTCTCCTGACGCCATTTCACTGCATATAGAGACAAAGCAGGTAGTCAAACTGCGTGGGGCCATACCTCATTGTAAAAACAGCATCAAAGAAATGTGGAACTTGTCCAAACCAGTGGAAAGGTTTTGAATGGAATATTTTTTTACTCTTAGTCCACTGGAAACATTTGTGTTGGGTATGTTGGGTTGAGTATTTTTATGTGGATTTCAGCCTTTTGCAGCCTGGACTCTAATGATTTCAACAAGGGGAAGCGTGCATAGATGTGTTCATGATGAGACAGACTGTGCTATGGGTGAATGTCTGCTCCGAGATATATCAGATTGTTTCGCTGAAATGATGCTTTGCTAACTTTATCTTTTACATTATTAAGGTCTTGGATCTTTTCTGACAACATTAGAGAGATTAGATGAATCTGCTGGGTGTAAAGTAAAATACATAACACGTCCTGGCGCTATGACTGGGTTTTAAAATGAGTCAGCTTTATATGTTTTCCGATGACATTGAACTGAACTATTGAGCTAGTGAGTATTGGAATCAGCGTTTAGGAGAAGTTGGTACAAGATTCAAAATCGCAGAAAATTTACAGAGGCGCATTTAACTGCCATGATTTTTTTGTAGAACATAACAAAGAGCACATGTGTGGCAAATTTCATGTCAATCAGCCACCAAGAGCAAAAACTGGGTTATTGTACAAGCCCAATTCCAAAAAAGTTGGGATACCAACAATGGTATGTTGTGAATAAAAAAGTAATGCAATAATTTACAAATCTTATTACATATCAAATGTTGAAAGTGAGACATTTTGAAATGTCATGCAAATATTGGCTCATTTTGGATTTCATGAGAGCTACACATTCCAAAAAAAAAAAAACGGGTACGGGACGGGTAGCAATAAGAGGCCGGAAAAGTTAAATGTACACATAAAGAACAGCTGGAGGACCAATTTGCAACTTATTAGGTCAATTGGCAACACGCTTGGGTATTAAAAGAGCCTCTCAGAGTGGCAGTGTCTCTCACAAGTCAAGATGGGCAGAAGATCAGCAATTCCCCCAATGCTGTGGCAGAAAATAGTGGAGCAATATCTGCAATGTTTCTCTAAGAAACTCCTTTCTAAGAGTTTGAAGTTATCATCTACAGTGCATAATATCATCCAAAGCATAAGGGTCAAGGCTGGCAAACCATACTGGATGCCCATGATCTTCGGGCCCTTAGACCTACTGCCCTACTGCATCACATACAGGAATACTACTGTAATGGAAATCACAACATGGGCTCAGGAATACTTTGAGAAAACATTGTCGGTAAAATCTATAGGTCAAAAAGGAACCCATATCTAAAGTAGTTCCAGAAGCGCAGGCTTTTTCTCTGGGCCAAGGCTCATTTAAAATGGACTGTGGCAAAGTGAAAAACTGTTCTGTGGTCAGACAAAATCAAAATTTGAAGTTCTTTTTGGAAAACTGGGACGCCATGTCATCCGGACTAAAGAGGACAAGGACAACCCAAGTTGTTATCAGCGCTCAGTTCAGAAGCCTGCATCTGTGATGGTATGGGGTTGCATGAGGCATGGGCAGCTTACACATTTGGAAAGGCACCATCAATGCTGAGCGGTATATGCAAGTTCTAGAACAACATATGCTCCCATCCAGACGTCGTCTCTTTCAGGGAAGACCTTGCATTTTCCAACATGACAATGCCAGACCACATACTGCATCAATTACAACATTATGGCTGCATGGTAGAAGGATTAGGGTACTGAAATGGCCAGCCTGCTGTCCAGATCTTTCACCCATAGAAAACATTTGGCGCATTATAAAGAGGAAGATGTGACAAAGAAGACCTAAGACAGTTGAGCAACTGAAAGCCTGTATTAGACAAGAATGAGACAACATTCCTATTGCTAAACTTGAGCAACTTGTCTCCTCAGTCCCCAGACGTTTGCAGACTATTCTAAAAAGAAGAGGGGATGCCACACAGTGGTAAACATGGTCGTGTCCGAACTTTTTTGAGATGTGTTGATGCCATGAAATTTAAAAATCGACTTATTTTTCCCTTAAAATGATACATTTTCTCAGTTTAAACATTTGTTATGTCATCTATGTTGTATTCTGAATAAAATATGGAAATTTGAAACTACATCATTGCATTCTATTTTTATTCACAATTTGTACAGTGTGCCAACTTTTTTTGAATCAGGTTTGTAGTACTTTTAAAATTTCCATGGGGCGCCATAGACATCACCCAACTGCGGGACCCCGAAAATGTAAAAATGTTCATTAGTCCTGATATGCATATCTATTGACCAACTTTTGAAACATGAAGACTACCCCAAAAAAAAAGGGCAAAAAATGAACATTCAACATTCCAAAAATCAACATCACCGCAAAAAGCAAAATGCTCTTTTTTTGGTATGGTTTCAAGCATGGTCCCAAGAGACTTTTTCAGTTTGTGTTACATATTCTTACCCAGTTTAAAACTTCCGGGGGCTGCTTAAATTAATATTTGTAGGGGGCGCTTGAGCCGAATTACCAGTTTGAATAATTAAAATCATAACAGGTAACTACATCTTGTTTTGTTTACGGCAAAGAATAGGTTGCTACGGCAACAACGTTAGAGGAAACATAAAATACTTCTTGGGCTGTCATCAAGAAAGTCTTAAGTTTGTGTGGGATGTGTGTGCGTTATTGTTTACTCCTGAAAAGGTGTGCAAAATCGTGCTGGTATGTGCTGTGCTACATAATGTGGCACAGCTTCCAAACGTGCCTCGACCCCCCTGACGCCGACGGCTGTGTTAGCCCAGACCCTGTCACCGATCCCCAATCATTGCCGCCAGTCTTTCATCAAGAGGGGACAGCTCCGGTGTCCCTGCTCCCCACCCGTGGCAGACACACTTTGGCGATGGCGCGCTAAACGCTTTTTTGCATCCACTTTGTCAAGACCATTTTTTCTTTATTTCGGCCACGGTCCGAGGTTGTGAGGCTGCAGCATTACTCTGCAACCTTTTGCCACTCAAGTGCCTTTTTGGCATTAGTAATGCCCATACTGTGCCCTCCAAAAAGCATTTGACTTCTCCTTTCCACCTCGCCAATGATCATTTCGACTTCACACTGAGTGAAGTTACGTTTCTTTTGTTTTCCTCTCAGTGTTTGTCATGATTTCGCAACCGATGAATATTAATTTGTGGGCGTTCCACAGACTATATATGGGCAACTATGGGCGTGACATGAAGCCGCAAAAGCTGCGCTGCATTTAGAATTGATTGTGATTTATTTAGGGAAAACTGCGTGGGACGTGCGTGTGCACGATTTTATAAGTCTGAATATTTCTGTGCGTACGCACGTCCTATGCTTCATCCGTATACGCCACTTCTGGCGCAAATCCTACGCAAGGTTTTATAAATGAGGCCCCTGGTCTTTTCCGACAACTTTTGAGAGGGATCAGAATAACACGTGAGGAGCAGGGTGTAAAGTAAAAAACATTTAACTTCCTGTTCCAGGTGGCTAGTATGACTGGGGTTAAGAATGATCATACCGATGTCTAAAGGGTAAGGTGGTTGACAATTAACCGCAGCGCCCCCTAGTGTTCAAATATTCGGAAAAAAAAGGTTGTGTTCATGGCTTCATTGGGTGCAATATATACACATATGCTACAAATTTGGTGAGGGTAGGCAAAGTCATTATAAGTTCGTCATTATAAGTCATCTGTCTTGCCAGATTAAGGCAAACCTCTTAGAAATTCATTATCCCATATCTAACAATGACATATCTCAATGAGATAGAACAAGGGGGGGACATAGAACCAATAATGATCTACAGAACATTTTGTGACAATCAGACACAGCATTTGGGAGAAATGGGTGAAAAATGTGTTTTTGACTAAATTCAAATGGTGGAATTCTAATTAGGTGAATTTAAATACCAAGAATGATTTTTTGTAGAGCACACCCAAGATCATATGTTGCCAAATTTGATTGTGAAGAATGGGTTGCCATGGCAACAGCGTAACACAAAACATTTTTTTTTTTTTTA